TGCTTTAAGGTTTACATTCGAAAGATCAATTGTTTTGTATACTTTTCTCAGTGAGACTTAATAAGTATATGTAGTAAGTGTCTTATATGTATAAAAAGGGAAGAAAAGAAAGGGGTCTTGCTAAAAAGTAACATTAGTTGGAAGATCAGAACATACTGCCTTTTCTAGCCATGCCCATATTTTTTCAATTGTAGTTGTAACTGTCATGCCAGCACTTGGACTGACTGCCTTGACTGGCCTATGCACTCTATCTAGGTACAGCAGTGCCAAAGTCAGAGTGTATTTTAGAGTTTACTTACATAAATGAATATAAAGCATATTCCTTAATGAGTATGCAAGGGTGAGGATAATTCCATCTATTTGTTAACATGTAAGTTGTACTCTGAAATGAGTTTTAAAAGTTTGACTTGTATGTCAAAGGTTATGTCTTGTCAATGCCTAACTAGTGACTGATTTAGTCACAGTAAAAGTCAAGATTTTACAAAAATTGGTCACTTCAGTCAAATAATACCATCTAATATTTTACAGAGAGATTAACTAAGGTTAACGACATTAAAATTTTTGAAAGAACAGCAAAGCAAATATTTGCATTGGTTTTAATAGGGTCCCTCCATCTTAAAGATTACTTAGCTAAATAATAGTGGACTACTGCCGATAGAACCCTCATTTTCATTTGACAAGCTATTCCGTAATTCTACAGCTAATTGACAATGTTGCAAGCAAAATAATTTAGAGAAATTCAGCAAAGAATAATACATTTTTCAGCTGAAAGATATGTTACATTAATGATTTTTGTTTTGACATAAGTTTACCTAAATAGCGTAGTCATTTTTACCAATCTTGAATTATGTTCCCTATTTAAAATGTCTAATTAGAATCCCAGTTTGTTTTTTTTCCCCTCAAACTAAGAATTTGTCACACAGATTCACAATTTAAAAAAATGTAAATAATATGATTGTAGAAGTTATTGTCTAGAACATGTTGTTGAAGATAAATAGGAGGTAAGCCACATAAGTGATTTTATACATTCTCTTAGTCACATTATAAAAAGTAAATATGAGCAAGTGAAATTGTGTATTTTAATCCAATATATCCAAAATATTATTTCAATATATGATTAGATGATAACGAGACAGTTTGATTTTTTTATTTTTATACTGTTTTCAATTCAGGAATACATATTACATCTTTACTACAGCAAGTGCTCAATAACCAGATCAGTGACTATTGACTACTATGTTGAAATAGCACTGGAGTAGACAACTTTTTAAGCAAAAACCAAACAAAACACATGAATTTCTATGTTTCATTAAACTGTCTCAATTTTCCACAATGATGAGTTGGTGGAAGGCCAATGAGGAATAAATTAGATATATCAGAAATGTCACACACTCAAATAAATGAAAATCCTATTTGGCTAATCCTACTTATTCATGTGCAGTCAAAAAGGAACATCTTCTACCATGATTTTTAGAAAATGATATTTTCCTGGGCATTTCTAACATTTCTCTTAGCCATCTAATCATTTGTACTCTGGAATTTTAAGTACATGCTAGAATATCCTGAGTACTGATATAAAACCAATGGTATTCAAAAACTACTGTGAGTACTGAATGTGCATTCCCATTCAGAAATGACTATGGGTAGGTAGGTCTCACTAAGTTGAATACCATTCTTCCATCACAGGAATTTCTTTCTAGAAATCTACTGAAACATCCAATTTACATGATGAAGATTGAAAGGTGGTGGTGATTATGATGATATCTCAATTACCAAAATAGGTGTATGACTGTCAACTGGCTTTGTTTTTTTTTTTTTAAGATTTCCTTAGAAATCCATGTCATGACACATGAATTTAAAAGATTTTTCTTACATACTCAAGTTTCTATAGCCATTTTAGTTTCAGACCTAGAAAACACTTTACCTTATACTGTGAACTTGATTACATAGTATTTAAACATATTTTGTAATTTAGAATGCTTAGCAAGCCTATTTCCAGTTTCACATGCAAAGTTACTGCTCCTGTGTTGCTGAAGATTTAGTATGTCATTTTGTTTCATAAGTAATTACTTTGTAGAAGAATCTGTTTACATTTTAAGTTAGACAAAATAATGCTATAAAAAGGGAAGCATAAAATTAGAAAACTATTTGGTTTTAAGATTGTTCTTGCAAAGTAAATGCAAAAAATAATTCAACAAAGTGAATCAGCACAAGGTTTTTCTTGAAGGTTGATTCCATATATTTTGACATAAATATACTGAGCAGAGTCAATTACATAAATACAATGCCATTATGTGATTTACTTATTTCAGAGTATGTAGTCTTATAATCCCAGTGTTTTTTGTTTTGTTTAGATGGTGCAAAGTTTCTAGATATTTACCTACATACTAGGATTTGTAATATCCATGTAATTACTGACTTCTAGATCATATTCCAATTTCCACACTGGTTATTACTGATTTGTTTCTGATCAGGGCTGTTGCTAACATTTGAGGAAATTATTGGTTGCATATATACTGCTTTATGGTGAGATTCAATATATGTTTTCTGTGTTTTTTTAAAATTACTTTTGCATTCATAATCTTCATATAATATTCATAACCCACAAAATAAGCCAAAATGTACACAATAATTTTCTGTAATTTTTTTCAAACTTCTTTTCTGCCCCTGGCACAGGAAGAGTTCTTGCTCTATGACAAACAGAAGGAAATAAAGCCAGAAGGATCACTGGAGAGCTATCAGCTACCCACCCATGCTAACTATGGTCAGCATTTAATCTAAGATCACAGTGTCCAACCATTTGCATACTAATTTTGGAAAGCAATAATAAACTTGACTAATTTATGTTTGCTTGCATAAAATTCCAAATTTCATAGATTTTCCATGATGTATTCTAGAGAGTTTGATTGGTGTGATCCTAACCTCTGTTAGGACTCAGTCTCTTCCCAGCCAGCTGGCCCAGAGGTCCACCCTTAGGTAAGATGGAATTACTGTGAAGGAAGTAGACCATCTGACCCCACAAAATCAGACATTGCTCTAGAGAAGACTCCAGGGATCTGGTAGGATTGAGCTCTTAATCTGAGCTTAATTTGCAACTGGGAGAACTCCTCCTGTGCACTGGTTGAAAGTGACACTGTTTAACAGTGTATTGTCATTGGTCAATAATGAGAAAATGGGATCCCATCAATCATTTTTCATGCTTGTTTTTGCTACCACTTCTCCCAGATCAATGTTTTGTTCCATCTCTTTAGCCTCTCTAGGTCTGTGAAACCTTGGAATATACCAACCTGGCTAAGGGTGAATCTCTTAGTGGTCCAGAAATCAGTTTGAAATCTAAGCAGCAATGCTAAGACTACAAAGTCACACTATTCTTAATAGCTGACTTTAGCCCATGGTAAGATCCTGGAAAACCCACAGGCATGAAATTATATACATACATACATATATATATATATGTATATATATATATATATAATCTTTGTGGTGATTTATTGTGTTAAAAATGACAGATATTTAATTTTCAGTCAGATTAAATAATCTTTATTTCCACTTAAAACATTTCGGGTGACAAATGCAGTAAGCTTCGCATTACAATTTTTGAAGCTATTATCTTACCTAAGCATTCTTTCACTCTGGCAATCAATTGTGGATGATAAAATGTACTACATATCTCTTTTCTTATCCTTCCCATGTACATGTATAGTACTCTGGTTTGTCATGGATATAAGTAAGTATAACTATAAGTTGAAAACTCCCATTTTATAGCTTCTTCCTTTTTAAACTGGGCTATTTTATAGCCTGTTATGCAGGCATATAATATACATAGCATACTTATGAATTACAAATTTACTTACATTTTTATTGTCAAGGTTATGCTGTCAGAAGTTCCCATTTATCTTCATGCATGCTTAGCCTAATATTTTCATGGTCCTTCACAAAGTCAAAAATTACTTAGCATGTCCATTTATTATGTCATTAGGTCTAAAAGTACTACAAGTACCACAGCCAATGTCTGACAGATACTTTGTTTCCCTCAAAATTTAAATGTCTGGAGTTCAGTGAGAGGGATCACTAGACAGGGAATTTAAATATTTCTTCTGTTTATTTTCCATTATTTTTAAATTTTTATATATGTTTTGCATCATTCTTCATTTTTGTACAATTTATGCTTTTACTTCTTGATTATAGTTCCTGTGGAATTCCCACCACCAAGTTATCATGTCCCTTGTGCTCTTTCCACCCGTTTTGATCCTGCTACTCTCTTCTCCCACCTGCAGAATGTCTCTGGTTTATAGTTGTCTGTTGATTTTCATTTTAAAATTTATTTTTCCTGATCCATTACATTCCTCCTAAAATTGAAACCATCTGGTATTTTTTCTTTTTCTTTCTGGCTTATTTCACTGAGCATGATCCCTTCCAGCTCCATCCATTTTGTTGTGAATGGCATTATCTTTTTTGATTTCTGAGTAATATTCCATTGTGTATATGTACTACATCTTCTTGACCCAGTCATCTATTTGGAGACATTTCTGTTGTTTCTATAGCTTGCCTATTGTAAATAGTACTGCAATAAACGTAGGGGTGCCCGTGACCTTTTGAATTAATGTTTTTGTGTCCTTTGGGTACTTAAATATTTCTTATCTGAATGAACTAAGGGTATCAGGGAAAAAGGATTACTAATAAAGGAGTTATAGGGGCTAATATTTATATTTTCTTACTTAAATGCCAAACATTCTTTTATCTTATGGCCTTCTTGATATACATAGAAAACTTCCATGTACTTTTTTTAAAAAGTAATTGCCACATACTTACAAGGAAATAATTTTGTATCTCCAAAGAACAGTTTTCATGAGTCAGGCACTCACCAAGGGACTTTTTTATAAAAGTGTAAAAATTTATTAGAAAACAACCATTCTCATTTATTCATATACTGTCTGTAGTGACTTTCACACTGCTAGGACACATCTGAATAGTTTCAACAGACACATTATGGTCTGATAATGTGCAAAATATTTAACCTTTTACAGAAAAAAAATAGATAATCCTGGTTTTTCATGGCACCCTGTGCCTTTTTAATAACCTCTAAAAATATACACTCATTACTCCCGATTTTTTTCTACTTAGCTTAAAGTTCTTACTTCTATTTTCTTCTTAGAAGTTAGAAAAGTTGCATTCTGATGTAGATGGTCTTACAACAATAATTATTCTAAGTGTATAACTTAATAGTAAAACTTCCCTACAAAACTAAAAATTCAAAATTGTATCATTTATGAAAAAACAGTATAAACTGAATTGCTTGAGAATGACTGCATGACTTTATGGAAGCCCTATAAATGTAACTCTTGTATTTAAAATCATGCAAATGACACCTGGCACTAGTATCTGCTCACAATTTATATCAATTGCAGCTGTTACTTAGCGAGCTAAAAGAGAATCCCTTTGTGATAGAGTGTTCTCAAGTAATTTATATCAGTTGGATTTCATGTAATCATGTTTAGGAAATAATGTACTTTGTGGTATTTGATGACTATGTTTTGTTGATTAATAGCTCAGGAAATGAGCTATTCTGTAAAAGAGCTACTTTTCTGACCATGTGCCCTTTAGAGCACTATGTATTTCATTGAAAAGGAAAGCCTTGAGTAAAATCTTTTCTTACATATTTAGAATCCAGAAGGGGCCCTTCTTTTAGTCTATTTCTGTCACAGAGAAAATGTTATTTCTAAAATATCTGCCTTCAAGGAAGCAGATGATCCAGATATTGAGAAATATAGGCATGTATGAACTTGATTTGATTTTGAATAACCAAAATGTTACAAATGAATACTGAGTAGAAAGCTCTCACTAGCAGTGTATTATAAATAACTAAACATATCACGGTTCTAATTAAACAGTTTTCTTTAAACTGTTGCAGCAAATAATACAACGTGGCTATTCGGCTACACTACAAAACTCAGGAACCAAAGAGATGTGTGTCTGCTAGCAAGGGGAGGTAGTACTATGTATATTAGGTCCACATTTCCACCTGCTCATTTTTCTTGATTGCTCAGAATCTTTTGTTAATGGACTTTAATGCCTTAGAAGTGATAGACCAAATTAATTAATTTTCTTCCTGGAACTAGAAACTAAACAGCATACTCCAGGAGATATTAGACCTTCATTGCAAACACACTTGAACAGTATCCGCTAATTAACAAGCTTCCAGAATAGCCCATTTCAGGAACCCATTTCCACCATTATGTGCAATGGAGGGATCAGAGGTGAATTAAACCCTATGCTACCCTCTAGGAGTGAACTGTATCATTGCAAAGAAAGTGTCCCAAGGTAATGTGTGCTGAGTGTAAGTGGGCAATAGGCTCTCTAGGGATAGAAAGAAGAAAAAGTTCCCTTTTGCCTGGAATGATCAAGAAAACTCATGGGAAAACAGGCTGGATATTAAGGATTGTGAGTTTTGCAGGTAGACGTAAAGGGGTACAGGGGTACCATGTCTGGCTGAGAGATCTAGAGTGGAAAAATGCAAGGCAAAGTGAAGGAATAATATTGTGCGAAAGGCTGAAATTCTCCGTGTGTAAGTGTTGCTAAGTCTGTAGAAGAGGCTCAGATCTTGTGGTAAGTTAAATTAGATCTCACTGTGAGTAGACACTACAGTCCGAGAGCATCTAGTCTTCTGTGATCACCTCCATACTTAGCCAATGTGGTACTCCCTAAGAGAAGTTAATCATTCAACATCTTAAGAGACATTTTTACAAAGTCGTAAAATGAAGCAAAACCTCAGTTACCAAAAGCAAATATTACATTGGCTTGGTCTTCACTGTAGTGTTTATCTAAGTCAGTCTGACAGCACTTTAATATGTCCCTAGAAAATTACCTAATTGCCAAAGCTTTGCCAGTGGTGGCCCAACTTAAGATTTCTGTCATCCATTAGTTATCTAAGCAGAAAAAGGAATCCCCATACAGCTGTGGGGATGGCATTCATACCTCAAAATTTAGGCTTCAAAAGGTAACATGTACAAAACTAAGTCTCAACCAAATCTGACCTTTCCAGAACAGCTTTCCCTAAACATCAAGCTAGTTTTGTCAATTTCTTTCTTCCCATTCTTTTGCCACCTTACATACCCTTCTTTGTGCAAATTAACTGTCATCTTAGTGATAAAAGGAAAGTTAAAGTTAAAATATGGAGACACTGATACAGTTACAGAGAACACACAAATACAGAAGTACTGGTAGGTAATAACTTCCCACTAAGATTTTTCAGGCTTATGTGATATTATCTGATTTACTTTTCCTAGTTTTCTTAAGAGGAGAAACTTGTGTTCCTGGATTTCCAAGTGTTTTGACTACTAGGGCATACATAGTTCAAAAGCAGCATGGAGTAGGTTAAAATTGGAAATATATGTCTCCAATAGTTTTAGGCTGCAAGTCATTAACCAAAAACAAGTGTATGCTGGATCTGGAGGACAATAAAACAAAGAAAATTTCAGTTTACACAGCCAAAAGTACAGGCTATCTTTCCAACTGCTGATTGAAAGCACTAAAGCAGCAGCTATTAACGTTTCATTTTTTAAAACCTGTCAAAATGGTGCTAATTGATTCCTTCGTATTACAGTATTTTTTAGGTAAATATGTTAAGTCTGACCTGGCCACAGATGTAAATACAGAAAATGCTTGTAAAGAATTCATCAAAATCATGCCCATTTGCTTTTGATTGAGTTACCAAATTTTTCAGTGGCAATTGTTTTGAGTCCTGGCTCAAAACAGTAAGGATGGGATACAATAGCTGTTGGCATTCTCAGCTGCCTAAAGTCTGAGGCAGAAAATGTGAAAGCCTGAGATGTAGTTTCTTCCTGGCCTCAGGTTGGTTAAACTGATTAAATGGCTATACTTACTCTTTGGTGTTGTCCAGGGGACAGGAAGGAATAATATATGACAAGGTAAATGGATGCAGACTAACTGTTGAAATTGATCTGAGACCATTATTTGTGTAAATTCACTCCGATGTATTAGAATATGCCAAAAGAAACATGTATTTGCTGCTGGGAAATCTGTAAAGCAATTTGCATGTACAGTATGACAATAAATCCTCAAAGAGCACACCAAAACTTTGTATTCTGTGATCTGAATGCTACAATACACAAGTGTTCCACATTCCACAGGAATGACACAATGAACATTTCCCTCACATTTGAAATGTGGAATTGAATCATTTCTTGAATGTTTCCCCACTCTCAACAAATTATACTTTTATTTTCATAACATTTTTAACATATACATGACAATCGTAAAATCATTAGTGTCAAAAGAGGACTTTGGTAATTATTTAATCGAGCAAGCTCATTTTATTTAAAGTGACAGCCAGAAAGATGACGACTTAGCTAAGGTCACAGAGAGGCTCATTAAGAGAACAGATCTGGTTGCCCAACTCTTACCACAGTGTTTTCACACAGGAAAATCATTTTACTGGGGCAAGGGAACTGTAGCAACTAGTAAAAAAAATATAAAAGTGTGAAAGTAAATGAACATTTCTAACATTTTGTATAAAGTTGTAATCATAGTATCAGTTATCACTACAGCACAAGTATTTTTATAAAATCTTCATATTTATGGTTAACTGCAAATAATCCAATCTCAATGATCTTTCTTCCATCATGGAACTGTTGTTGGGTCAAAAGATGTTCAGTGCTCACTTCATAAAATGTTTCTAAACCCATAGGATCCAGTAACGGAAGGAAGAAAAACGCGAAAGAAGCTGTCAGCACCAAGTTGTAAAAAGATCTGAAAGCCTTAAAACTTGGCCACTCAATCATTTAGTAATTATGTGAAATGTCTGCGGGTGAAATAGGTAAAGAAACAGCAGAGCTTACCCTCAGTATTGCACTAAGAAGTTATGGGCAGCCACTGCAGCACAAGCTTCATCCCTGCCAGGGAGCTTACATACACGGCCCAACAGACATCTGTCTTGCCTGCCTGTTCTGCTCCCCACTCTGCCTCTGAGGAATCCTCTCTCATTTCCCACATCTCTGCTTTGCACCCCAGTTACTGTATTTATAAATAAATAAGATAAATCTAAAAAAATAAAAAAATCTCAGCTTGCTACTACCTACCCTTAGGTCCAAAATGTTTGTTTTATTGAGAAGACACATTAAATAAAAACTTCTCGATTTAGGGAATTAAGGGAAATGCTAGAGAAAAACTTACCAAGTCAGTAAGTAATTTTAAAATACATATACATTATTCATATTAACGCATACTTTTATTTAACAAATGTTCTTTTTTACATATTGTAACATAAAATTAGGGATTAAAAAACAAAGTGTCTATATAGCACAACTTTTGTTGAATTGCATCAGGTGAATTTTTATTTAACTATACATGTAAATCTTTGGAAACAGTAAATAATGAAGAAATTCTAATTCTAACTTCCAGTGCTCTGGGATTAATCCAATACATCCTTTATGGTCAGATTGTGTTATCACCTAGTTAAATGAGAAGTTAACTAAGAAAATATAGAATACTGATCAAGAAAACACATGACACATGGAAATCTGGCCAAGTCCTTTAACTTCTCTGGGTCTTATTAACTTATCCATAGAATTGAGATATAGTTACAATATACATTTATTTAAAAGAAACTTGATTTAAACAACTGATTGTGAGGATGGTAGTAGGCTCTTGAATATAAAAGTAAAGTTCGTATTTACATCAAAGGGAATTACTCAGACCTAAGAGGCTCAAATTGTACAAAATTTTCCTATCTTCTCCAGAGGCAACCTGAATCTGACTTTTTAGCTTAAAATGTTCATTTAATTCAAGCTGAGTGTTATATCTTTCAGTTAGATAGTAGAGGGAGTAGGACAGAAAGGACTTTTTCTACTAGGAGATAATCTTACAGAAATGTACAATTTCAAATATATTCGACCTCAATGAACACAGAAATGAAGATTTTTAACATTTACAATCTATTCTAACAGTTAAATATAACCGTAGGATAATAAATCCTCACATTTGTTAAGTATGTGTTAAAGTTCAATGGTTTAATCATGAGTTATCAATATGGATATTTCATGCAAAAGTATTACTGATGATACTTTATCTGGTGGGAAACTGATCTCCTAAAAAAAAAAAATCTCAATGTACTGACATATTTATTGCATATGTGAATTTTTGATACAAACTAGCTATCAGTTGGAGAAAATAATCACATACATAAAATAAAGTAGTTTATATTCTTTGACTTCATTTAACTGTTTTATAAAATTATCTTTCAAGGAAAGTATTTTTGGTTATAACTTTTATTGATAACTACTGATATATTTCTAGTGTTCAGAAGTCCTTATTTAGGCAGCATGGAAGGTTCCAGAAGATAAAGTAGTTTGTACTTGAGAGTAATCCCATAAAACGCTCTACTTCGTATTATAGAAAGACTTTATATATATATACACACACACACACACACACACATACACACACATACATACATATACTATAGAATTGTGCTACTTAATACACAGCACTGGCTTCATGTGGATAATGAGCACTTTAAATGTGGTTAGTCTAAATTAGTTAAATATACACCAGAACTCAAAGAATTAGTACAAAAAAGAATGCAAGCTATTTTAATGATTTTTTTATATTGTTAAATAAAGCTTTCTATCAGTATGGTATTTGAGATAACATACTTAATATATATTGTCACAAGATTCCTGAGCTTAGAATCAAATATACCTTTATTCTTAAAAACAAAACCAAGTAAGGCTTACTTTAATATTTTTGGTTAAATATGATTGCAAGCAGGCAACTGAATCTAATTGGGTAACAGAAATTTTCTAAAACTGGACTGTAGTGATTTCTGCATAACTATATAAGTATTCAGGAGTAACTGGATTATATACTTACAACTAGTAAACTGTATAATATGTAAGTTATACCCTAGTGAAAGCTGGGTTGTTTTGCTGTTCTTAATTTTAAAGGACAGAGCTATAGCTCAGCTGGTTTAAATAGCCATCTAAAAGCTACATATAAATTTCAGGTAATTCAAATATAATTTTTCAATCTATCATATGATTCAATAGTGCAACAGAATTTTTTTCCCATAACTTCCATTTTACCTGTAGTGGGTTACTTCAACAGTAGATATGTACTCATTAATTGGAGGCACAGTTTGAAAATGACAAAGGGAACATTAGGGTACTGAGTTAGACAATTTATTTGCCTTTAGGGACACCCAGATCAGGAAACAACAGCCCATATATAATGTATATCTTTGTCACAAATTCTTCATTTAATCTAATTACCCTCTATTTGGGTCTCTGCTGGTATTTCAACATCTTGACAAATACTGGAATATAAGAGAACTCCTATACTACACTAATAAGACCAATTAAAAAAACTTGTGAAATCATAATCAACACTTAACAATTTCCATGGGAAGCTGAAAGCTAAACTACCAAGTTTTCTTTCCCTGTTGCAAAAGTTAAAAAGCAGCAAATAAATCCAGCAACTCAAAGTTACAATCAGCTCAGAAAAGGCTATTAGCAAGTTAAAAATATAAGGTCATTTGTACATTTTCAGTTCTTGAAATGTTATCTACCATCATTTAATCACAATGCATTCTTGTGCTTTTTGTAGTTCAACATATAAATATTTCTAGAGTTCACTTCAACTCATATTAACCAAAAAAAAAAAAAAAACCCAAAAACAAAGCAATCAGTTGAAAAGCAGTAACAATACTGATAACACATAATGAACTCAAATAGAACATTGAGGCGGATTTCAAGATGTATGCATGTACACTGACATAAATGCCTACAAAGATTTGCATAAAACATACTGTTGCCTTGATTTTCACTTTAGAGGTAAACTGGGTGGTCAGTTCAAATGTCAAGAGATTTATTCGGAATGTTAAAGTCATTTAGGAATGTTCATTTAAGGCAGCCACAGAATCAGAGGACTCATTAAAGTCCATTCCAGTAAGAAATGACTCACTCTAGTTAGACATTTGGATACACCTATAAATGCAATTGTTATATTTCAGACTGAAATTATATCGCAATTGTAAAGTTTATAAAGCAGTTAGGGATATTCTGCAAGCTGAGAGATGCCTTTTAAACTGAAACATGCACAAAACATTGGATGTGACTTTCTAGAGTGATCATTTTCTAGTGGTGGTACAACCACTCCTTTCATATACCCAAGACTACTTCACAATCAATGTGGTGATTCCAGCACATATGTGACAGTTTTCTGTACTGCTTTATTCATGAATAAATGCTTTTAAGACTCCAAATTAAATTCACAAAAGATACAAATATATATTTTTTAAATATATTCACAAAATAATGCCTTCTAAATATCAAAACTTAGTTGCATTTGAATTGTTCCTGAAGTTACTGTGGTATCCTTTTTTTATACATGGTCTTTTCAATACTTAAAGTAGTGGAACTCAATGGACAATGAAGTTCATTTTTTAATAAAATATAGAGTAGGGGTTTCTTTTTAAGATATTGGCAAACTCATGGAGCATACCAAGAAAATTAAAATATTTACAAAATGTTTATAAAGCTAAGTAAATTTTAACTACAAAGCATGAAGCTGTATTTTCTTTAATTTCTCAGCAGCCAAAATATTCATACTGAGGCACTATTCAAGCTCTTATATGTTTGTGTCTACTCTTTGTGCATGTATCTACTCTTTGTGACTTCTGTCATACTCCCATCCCTGGATGCATTGCCATATAAAAATGTGCAAATAAGTGTTTGCAAAATCTAAAATGCCCTGTCTTCTATAGCTACTTACTTTAGGAATAAAATAAGTCAAAAACATCTCAATTGTTTTCTAGAGGCTATGAGAAGGGCAAAAAAGGATGATTTTTTTTACATCTAATGTAGCTCCAAAAAGTAGATGCTTCAGGGGACTAGGAGAAATACAAGTTTTACACCTTTTGCAAGGTTTTTCGTAAATCAGCATAAAAGCTGATTAAAGTGCTTGCCATGGCTGTATCCACTGCAGACTGAGGAACCATCCCACGCAGATCCGTCTGAATATAGCCTGTCAAAAGACTCTGGTTTGGGTTGTCTTTAAGTGGTACACAAAACCAACCACAGGGATGGTTATAGCCACGCACAAATTCTGGTCTTTTTTCACTCCAGTCAAGACTTATTCCTAAAAGACAATTTAAAAATAATATTTTAATAGCAATAACTGATATTAGTCTAAAGCTCACTGAAAATACCAGATTTCTAAGTATCTTTTTCTCCAGTACAAGCGGATGAAAATTAAGTCCCAAGAGTGACCCTTTAAGAATTCAAAAGATAATTACCAAGAAAGAATTCTAACAGGAGGCAGTAGATAGGTAATGGAAAAGGTTTGAATCCCTTCAGTATAGATGACATCATGTCATCTTGTTAACTCCTTGGAAACTACAAATCTTGGCTGTAGCAGACAAGCCTCCAGATGTCAATAATCAAACCTAAGGCACTACCACTGCTCCCCACAGGCTACACCATATCCAACTTTGGCACTGGCTAGTTGAGAATAAACAAGGAATGACTCACCTACAACTTCAACTCAACTATATACTATACATAAAAAATATTAAATTAGCAATATTTTACTTTATATCTAGATAGGTAGAAACTTTAGAAACTGGGACTGCCTAGCAACAGTGTTTTTAGTCTTAAAAAAACATTCTCTTATAGCTCAAGGAAGGGAAAATATTCTCACACACAGCAAGTCTGTATTTTTCTATTCGTATGATCAAAACTAGAGTCCTTTAGAAGGAAATCCAGGGCCCTCCATGGTGGCACAGCAGGTTAAAGTGCAGCACTGCAAGCTAGCTGCAGCTACTTCAATGCAAGTTTGATCCCTTGCCTTGGAGATGATCCACATGGCTCATCAGACTTCTATCCCACCTGCTGCTCCCCTCAGCAGTGTACTTCATCAATCTGCCTGCTCTGCTCCCCACTCTGTCTCTGGTGAATCCTCTCACCACTCCTGCACCACTGGCCTATACTCCAGTTCTGTATGCATAAATAAATCTTTTTTAAAAATTAAAAAAAGAAGAAGGAAATCCACTTATTGGATTTATATTTGTTTGCTGTAATTTAAAGAATACTGTATAAGTGGGAACAAGCACTTGTCAGAAAGATTTCAAACCTCTTCCTATTGTTTTCATTCTAATTCCTAGGGTGTAGTATTTACAAAGTTCATTGACTATAAAATGAAGGTTGAAAATAGAAAGAAATATCCAGCTAAGAAATCTCAAATACTTAAAACAATATGGACGGTATAAGATTTTGAGATCATTACCACAGGATAAAAGTCCTTCCTTATAGCCCACAGTGTAGGAGAAATCAACAAACTCTCTTGGAGAAATTATATTCCAAAGCTGACCAGCAGTAGTATAACGCATCACACAAGAATTCTGAAAGAAAGGGAAAATAGGTGTTACTACTAACTTAAACAAATAGACTCATTTTGCAAAAAAAAAAAAAAAAACAAGCAGGCATTTAAAATGTGCTATAATTATTGTTAATAATTATTATGGTAATTTTGACAGGTTTATATCTCTATTCCAAGCCTCATTGCATAGATGATGATACACATAATGAAAGCGCAGAGAAGTTAGTTGTGCAACATCTAAATCTCTAATTCAACACATCTGTCTTATATCCTATATGGTATTCAACATGGAAACAGGTACTGTAGACTATAAGTATTTAATATAAAATACACAAATATTTGGATTAAAAAAACAGGTGTTTCAATGAAGAAATTCAAACATGGAAATAAACAAACTGATAGAAAAAGTGAACAAGTCACTTAGTTACATAATTAACTAATGTCTTAGTCTTTGCTTTTGGTTTAATATTAATAGAAACATACACAGAAATTTAAATGTGCTGGTTATGTTTTTAGAATTTTGTATTTTAGAACCTCCATTAGAGTTTTACAATTAAAGATGCTGGTGCTTTTTCTTAAGCAGCAAGAGTGTAACTACTGTGGAAAACAAACTTGAGTTTTACAATTAAAGATGCTGGTGATTTTCTTAAGTAGCAGGAGTATAACTACTCTGGAAACAAACTCAGGTCTGACTCAATGTCATTAGTTAATATGCAAACTCATACATCTTAAAAGGTACAAAGATTCCCCTGTGAGATTTATTCTCAAAACAAAGAATACACTGAGTGTAAGTAAATACATATTCTCAAACTCATGTGCTCTTTAACACACAGAAACACACACACATATATATACACACACACTTGAAGTAATAATGCTAAGCAAATACCTCTTCAAATTGCTCTAAAATGTCCAAGGAAGTCATTAAGCTGTCCCAATCCAAGCGACAGGGCCCTGGGCGTATATGGTCTATGACACTATTGACAACATCATCTATAATACCTTCGGCTTTAAAGCTGGAGAAAAACATATTAAAATGGAATGCTATTAACATGAAAAATTACAGCATGCCCTTATAACTAACTTCAGAAAGAGCAACACTGAGGATTTTTTTAAAGAGAGTAAAATCTCAACAACTTTGATAAATTAAGTTCTATCAAGTATCATATCAGCATGTACCATTTGTCCTAAATGCTAAAGAATATAACATAAATAGGAATGAACACAGTAAAGTACCTTCAACTTATGGGAGCAGCCAAAATAGCCTATAGATTATAACACATTTATTTCTCATGCTATTCTTTCCTTGGTTATGCTCTACCATGTTATTACTCCTCACCTGTATACACAAAATTACCCTTTCCAAAACTGTGTATTAGGCACAGAAAAAATAATAGGTCACCTAGAAATAGAAAAACTTGGAATTGACTCATGAATAATAACATATTTCAAAGGTGGCATTACATATTAAACAGGAAATGATGTACTAGTCCAGAAATAATGCTTGGGTTTAAGTTATTTTTATGGAGAAAATAAAAATTAAATCCCTACCATTCAAAACAATTGATTCTATATAAAGAGCAAAATACAAAACTTTAATACACTGCAAAAATATATATATATATAAGTAAATATCTTTATAAGCTCCGGAAACAGTAATTTCTTGAATCTATAAACCATACAAAACACAACCAATACAAAGTGGTCAAAATTAATAATTTTCATACAACAAATGACAAACTTGATGATTTTTTAAAGTTAGTCATCTTCTTGGAAAAGTTATGTATAATACATATTAACAGACATATGATTAAGATTTGGGATATATGATTAATTTGTACAAGCCAATGGAAAAGGCAGACAATCCAAAGAAAAGAAGGGTACAGGATGTAGGGATATTTTCTTGCAATTTCAATCAACACAGAAAAGTTGTTCGACTTCACTGACAAGTAAATACTGACAAAATGACATCTTACCCCCTGAGGTTGGCAGAGATTAAAAAATTAATAGTGAGTACCATTAATACATGGAGGGTAAAGAGGACTCTCATACTGTCACTGGCACTTTAGAGAGAAATTTGGTAATGTCCAGTGAAATTGGATGTATGTCCTTAAGATCAGGCATATATACCTGAAGTAAATCACATATGTGGGTAGGAGGAAACATGTATCAAGAAGTTTACCAAAATACTTGGCAGGGATGAACTAATAATAACCAAAAAGTTTATCAGCAAACAAGTGTGCAAAAAACTTGTTTTATTCAATACAACTGAATAAAATAACGACAAGCACATTTCAAAATGAAGCAAACACACATATGTGGTCCACATATTAGCAAAGAGTTCCCTTGGCACTTTTTATACTTTTCAACATTAAACTGGAAATTACTGATCTACTGATTAACTCCCATACTTACTTACAAGCTTACTCCAACTCCAGTTTGCCTGTCCTTGTCATAAATATTGTACAACTCATCTTTTTGGAAATGCTATCTTTGGTATTACAAATCAGAACATCTTGTATATGATAAATGGGCCAAAACTTTTCATTTTAAAAAGAGCTGAGCCTCAAGGATGTCATATATTCCACTCCAATTATACAAGACATTTGTCTTCATTGACTTCTTTTTAATTGCAATATTTGGACACCCCCATCAAGTATTAGCACCACAGTGCTCCTGATCCAACTCACCCACAGTCTGCAACATGGACTACTATGCTGCTTTCCCTCTTTGTTCTTACCCTCCCTCCTCCTCATCTCCCTTTGGCATTTCAGCTCTATAGTCATCTATTGAGGGTTAGTTTTTAAGCTTGTCTATATCTGACTCTGAATTTAGTGACATTGTATTGCAAATATTAGTGTTTATCTTTCTCCTTTGGACTTATTTCACTTAGCATTAGGGCTGGCTTCTTTGGTAAATGAATGAAATTGACTTTAAAAACATAATATGTTTTGGGCCCTCCCTTGTGGCAGTGGATTAAAGGGCAACACTGCATGCAAGCTTCAGCCTCTTTAGTGCGAGTTCGATCCCCTGCCCAGGTGATCCACATGGCATGGCAGACCTCTCCTGATCTGCCCGCTGCTCCCCTCAGCAATGTACTTCATCAATCTGCCTGTTCTTCTGCCCACTCTGTCTAGGTGAATCCTCTCAATGCCCCTGCACCTCTGGCCTGCACCACAGTTCTACATGCATAAATCTTTAAAAAAAAAAAAAAGTGTTTTAACTAAATCAAAATAAACCCTAAAATTCTGATACTACCAGAAGGGAACACAGAGATGAACAGGAGAAAGTGGTCCAATGGATTAATGGATGCTTTGATAGTGTGATGCAGTAACATATATCTGAAGAAGCATAAAACTAACCCCCTAAGGCAGATACAGTATTGTAAATTAACATTACCACAAAAAAATTAATGTGATTACAATATAAATATTTTTCTAATTAAAGGTATAATTCGTGTTGAACTACCAAAAAGAAAACAGAAAATAAAAATCACTCATTAAACTGCAATTTATAGGCATACAACTGTTAGATAAAAATATATTAATATACAAAATAAATATTTAAAATCAATCTATAATTCTGTTAATTTAGTATCCTGTTTTGTTCATATTATATATTATATCTTGGGCATTTTCTTATATTTTTAGATAATCTTTGAAAAAACATGATTTTTAAAGACTATAAAATATGCTTCATTATTTCATAATTTTCCAACATTTGCTAATACAGCTTGTTTATGATTTTTTTTTTTAATTACTTATTTAGGGCCCTCCCCGGTGGTGCAGTGGGTTAAAGCACTGCACTGAGAACCTAAAGTCACTTCCGTGTGAGTTCGATCCCGCCTCGGAGGTGACCACATGGCGTGGCAGACCTCTCCTGACCTGCCCGCTGCTCCTCTCAACAGTGTACTTTGTTGATCTGCCTGTTCTGCTCCCCACTCTCTCTCTGGTGAAGCGTCTCGCCACCCCTGAGCCTCTGGCCTGTACCCCAGTTCTGTATGGACAAAATAAATAGATCTTTAAAAAAAAATTACTTATTTACGCATACAGAGCTGGGGTACAAGCCAGAGGTATGGGGCAGTGAGAGGCTTCACTGGAGACACAGGCAGACTGACAAAGTACACTGCTGAGGGGAGCAGCAGGTGGGTCAGGAGAGGTCTGCCACTCCATGTGTGTCACCTCCAGAGCCGGGGATCAAACTTGCACTGAAGCAGCTACAGCCAGCTTACAGTACTACAGCCAGCTTGCAGTGCTGTGCAGGCGGGTCACTACTTTTAATGATTTGTCAAGATAAATTCTTAGAATAAAATATACTACAGTACTAAGTGTGGAAGAATATCGGAAGATCTTATGCATCATCCTAAGAAATTAAGATTTGATGACCCATTTGGTATCATTATCATCTTCCCATATTACAACTATGTCCATAAGAGAAAAGGCCATTTTTCAGACTTTGAATTTATAAGGATATGATTCTCAGGAAGCTTCAAATTTTAAAGCAACAATCAAATTTTACTGTCAATTATCATTTAATGATTATGTGTATACTTACAGATACACACAAAAATATCTATATCCATACAAATGTCTATCAAGTTTAGTTATACAGGTATGTATGTGTATGATATTTTTTAAAGATTTAATATATTTATTTATGCATAAAAAACTGTGGCATACACCAGACGTACAGAAGGTGAGAGGATTCATCAGAGACAGAGTGGGAAGCAGAACAGGCAGATTCACTGAAATATACTGCTAAGAGGAGTAGCAGGTGAGACAGGAGTTTTGCTGCACCATGTGGGTCACTTCCAGGGCTGGGGATGAACCCAATCTATAATGTTAATGGTGTTGAGACCTAACCTCTAGCCCACCAGGGAGACACACATTTAGTTATATTTTATGAGCTATGTAAAACTATAAGAATTTACTTACAGATATCCATTAAATTCTTCTGAAGGTTTTCTCCAAATCGTGACATCTTTCTATTAAAATAAAAAGATACAGAAATAAAGCTGTATACATATACATAAAGCTGATAAATCTATATTAATGGCTCCTGCACTAAAAGAAAACCTAAATAGGGCCCTCCCTGGTGGCGCAGTGGGTTAAAGCACAGCGCAAAGAAGCTTAAGCCACTTCTGCATGAGTTTGATCCCTGCCTGCCCCGGAAGAGATCCACATGGCAAGGCAGACCTCTCCCGACCCGCCCGCTGCTCCCCTCAGCAGTGTACTTCGTCAATCTGCCTGTTCTGCTCCCTGCTCTGTCTCTGGTGAATCCTCTCACCCTCTGCATCTCTGGCCTGTATCCCAGTTCTGTACAAATAAATAAATAAATCTTTTAAAAAAAGAAAACCTAAATAAAAAAATGATCCATATTTGAACTTTTCATGTATCCTAAGTTATTTACATTTTATATACAAACATCAGAAAAAAAAAGATTAGTCAGTTGCTTAATAAGATCTAAATACTGTTTAGAACAGTGATGGTATTATCTAAGTGTTCCATACCATTTGCTTCAAGACAGTTTTATCTATTTGCCATTACTGACACATTCAGACTAAGACACTGCAAATGCTAAATATATCATTCTGAATTTGCTCATATTTTTCCTAAAATTAAGCAATTTACATTAGGCTAATGCTACCTTAAATTAGTTCCTACACTTCCCCCCTACTCAAGAAATGTTGATATTAGAACAGTATGTTTTGCTTACATGCAAACTATTCTTTAGGTCTGGCTGCTGGTAGTCTACTCTCCTGTCTAAAAACTAAAGACAATTGTACAGGATTACTACTGTTTTGTTTTTCTTCTGAGACACTAAACAACTGACTTTATTAGCATTATTATTTATCCTGAAAATTGATCTGAAGTATGGCCCTATTTTTCCATAACATTTTGAAAGTTGTCAACCATTTCATTAGACAATATACACCAGTAAAAGTAATTTCACTAATTTACCATTTTCTTAGCAACTCGCCATTTATCATCTTCAATGTTATGGTACTGGATAAGAGTGTTTTTAAGTCTAGTCGCAAAAGCAGCAGCATCAGACAGGTCTTCCATTTTTTTCCTGTTAGAGAAACTAAGATTAGCACTGGCAAGTAACAGTTGGATGAAGATCAGTGGGTTTCAAATCTGGCTTCATAGTAGAATAACCTTGAGAATTATAAAAGACACCTGTATGTGGACCCTACCACAAGTCAACCAAGAATATCTGAGAGTGTATCCCTGACATAGCTTTATTCTAAAAGCTCCCAAGGTGAGACATACATTGGATAATAATCACACATTTTGAATGTTAAATTCATACATATTTACATAAGTTTTATATATACATATACAAACAAAATAGACCTATATTCCCCTTCTAGCGTAATCTCATTAAAAGGAACAAATCATAAAAATTCCAATTTAGTGAAAAATATTGTCAGTTCCAAAATACAATATACTAGGCATAACTCAGATCTTCAGTCAGTGGACATTTTTATTTTACCATTCAACAAATTTAAGACTGAATCATTTTAGCAAGCAACCATAATGAAATTCCTTCTTTTGTCCTTTAAGGATAAGATTACATAACTCTGAATAACTTCAAATGAATGGAAAATGCTACTTTCTTCAATCTTATTTCATTTGATAGGTTATGTGTGTTTATATGTTACAAGATATATTCAAGATTCAGTGAGAGATCTGTGAAGAAGTCACCATTATAGCATAAATAAGTAGTTTGCAATTCTATAAATTTAAGGTTGATAAATTTAAACTAAAGATACAATGTATTCTATAATTAATAATTACAAAGACAAGCTATAGTCTAACAATATTATGAAAAGGAGACAATTACTAATCTTCAAAAATAATAAACTTATGGTTGATTCTGTAATGTGCTGGTTGGAAACACTTCTACAAATTCTTTGATACACTTCCCATCATGAGGCGAAGTCCAAGTCCACTTGAAGCTGGGTGGACTTTCTGAATGCCTCTACAACATGTGTGGGAGAAATAACTGCATATTTTCAGAGGCCAGAGACCAAGATTCTTTTAGAATAATCACTGTAAGAGTCATTTATCAATATGGAAAATATCTGGCTATCCAGAGAGAGTAGAAAAGTGAGAAGGAAAGGGAAAGGGATAATCTCAATCTCTCCCTCTCTCTCACAGACACATAAACACACACTATACCGTAAAGTCCCAGATCCAGAAATCTATTTAAATAGGCATCTCTTATTTCCCATGACTTAACCTCAGTTTATCCCAGTCTTCCTCATTTTAACAATTCACTATAAAAATGGCAATTACTCAAATGGAAACTTCCTATTTGCAATGTTGGAATGGAGATGATTATATTAAATTATGTAAAATGTAAGATGAAAAGTGGTTGGTTCATCATATGGGGAAAACAGAGAAGCAAAACAAAGGTCAGATAAAACCAAACCTAAAAATCTGTAAAACTGATGCTACCAGAGTGGGAAAGAAGGATAGACAGCAAAGAGTTGGTGGGGAGAAACAGACTATAATAGAGGACTTTGGATACTTTAGTGTGGGTGTGGTGTGGTAACATTCATCTGAAGAGGTATGATCTGTGATCATTTACCTCTGAATCCTCCTGTTTTGTAAACTCATATTAGTTCAACTAAAAAAAATAAAACCAAAAACCTTAAATCACTTTTAAAGGACCTCTATTCACAGTGCCAAATGCCACTGCCTATACTATCCGAATCCTGCTTATTTTCTTTGGGCCTCTGGACTTCCTCTTTCTCTGCCTAGAGTACTAGAACTTAAATCCAAGAAGGACCAATGATAAACTTAATGACAATCTCCGCTTAAACCTTCCATCATTATAGTTTTTCGCAATGCTATATTGCTTTTATATCCTATTTATCATTATCTGAAATTGTTTGTTTATTGTCCTTTTACCACTATATCCTCAACTCTGTACTGTAATTATGCACGTGTTATCTTCTACTGGACAGTAAAATCTTCAGGGGCAAGGAATGTCACTTGTTTAGTATTATATTATATTCCTTATATCTGGCATGCAAGGGGACACAGTGAAAAGGGCCCCTTGTTTGCCTTATTCACCACTATATCCCTACCATCTACAACATTGCCTACAACACAGTAGGCCTTAACTATTTGTTGAAATTTGTTTCAATACTAGAACTATTAGTCTTAACTTCTCTCCTTTTGGAGCCATGGCACAAAATTCCATTTGACCCTAATCTAGCTCTATTCCTTGCAATGCTTTAGTAAACATCTAAAGGAGAAAAGAGGTTTGGGGAAAAGTTTACTAAAGTATCAGGTTACTACTAAAAAGAAGATCAAGAAAAAATCTAAATGAAGTATAACTGCTATGAGAATAAGGCTGAAGGTCTCAACTACACACACATTGATTAGAATCATCTTTGTTATATTCTATCCTAATTGCTGCTGATAAAGGTTCTCATTACTCAGGTTCCTTGAAGATCCTTTTGACTAGGCTTACCTCTTGGGCATTCCTTTTTCCTTACTGCAGTTTTCACAAGAATTCTGCTGAGTCATTTAGGGAATATCCCAGTCTCAAAAATCCCTTATCTGAACTTTAAACTGTGGACAGCTTTCAGTAAGTTGTTTTCCCGAGAATCCCCCTTACTCTGCTAGTAAATTTTCCATCCACTGACAGCACTTTACTCCTTGGCTATAAATCCCCACTTGTCCCCCACCCTTCTCCCCCATTGCCATAGTTCTCAAATTAGATTTGTCTAAAATGGTAACATTTTAACTTCTGATTCTGGCTTTCTTTGACACTGTTTTTGGGTGTTGTTTAAACACCCCCATCACATATGCTGAATCAGATGGCTTCTTCTTGGGTAGGCCCCAGAAATCCAGGTCCTTTAAAAGTCTCACTGATCCAGCCAGAGCTGAGAACCACTGATCAAAAACTAAAGGCGGCAAAAATAAATCAATTTTGTCGTCAATATTTAAATAGCAAAAAGTTAAGTAAAGACAGGACATCAAAATGGCAAACACTAAAGTGGTAAACACTGGAAGGGGGGGCGGGGAACGGGGAAAGCTTTTCATTTACCCTTTGCGGTTCTGTATCAGATGCCTGAGAATTAAAATGGCAAAAGCTGGAAGAACAGGAGAAGAAACACACATTTTGAATTTGAAGTTAGTATTTCATTTTTTATGTACACAGAGGCCTTCATAAAAAAAAAAAAGTGGAGACACAAAGAAAGCAATCAGGCCTGAGGTTATACACCCTTTTAACAGTGTTCTAGGGGTGGTAATTTATGGGAAGGAAAAAATATAAAAGGGGAAGCTAAGCGAAGATAAGGGTTATTTAGTTAATTTTCTTTATGCTGACTATATTAGTGCCAACTTTTTGTCTCCTGTGATAAGGGTTGTTTTCCTAGTATGGAAAAGGGAGATGAAAGATTTTAACAAGGAAAATTTAAATCCTACTCTCAGACATCAAGGAGAGCAAAGAATTTTTAGTACCTTTGCCATTTAATTACTTTCAGCTAAAAATAGTTCTTATTCCAAAATAGCATATTTTGGGGTGTCATATTCCTTCAGAAACCTGAAAAAAATACCTATATATAAAATAAAAATTCAATAATAATAGAATGTAGGATCTGTGCAAGTGATGCAAAACATGAAAGTATAAATCCTAAACATACCCTAAAAGGTATAAGCTCATTCAAAAGTCAGCAAGTCAGTAATATTATCCCTTTTCTACTGGAAATTGCCAACTTCACAGCAAACACAATGATCTCATTCAAAAAGGTATGTTATATACAAGCACAAGTTCTCAGGAAGGACTTGCAAAAGTAATTTATCTATTACTAGATCATTATGAGTAGGCAAACAACATTAAATACAAAGGTTGCCTGACAGTTTTTTGTGGTTGGCAGATAAGATTTTTATTTTTAAACTTGAGAGAAATCAAAGATGAAATCATAAGGCCAATACTATCAAAAATATTGTTTGTGTAAGTCCAGCACACAAAAAGAAAGCAGTAAAAACTACCCATAAAGATGAGAATCTGAAACTTGAAGGTGCTTATTACTTAGTAATCATTCACTCCTGCTGATCAGTTGAAAGTCCGAAGTTCTTATGGCTGACAGACCTTTTATGTTTCCCTGTCTGACTTCTCCTAAAGAGCAGATGAACTTCCCTCCAATGTTTCTTACAGCATCTGGGTACTGTGATTATACACTTGTCATTTAACTGTATAATATCTAAGGCAGGAAGTATGACTTTTCCAATGCCATACTCCTTATGTTTCACATCTGGAACCCAATACACAAAAAAGCAGAAAACAGGTGAGCGTGAACTACTCATTTATAGAAGACCTCAATATATCTAAAAGGAACTCATTCATATCAACCTTCTCTGAGGTTCTGAATAACTAAAACTTCCACTATGGGTTACCACAAACACAGCAATTTCTCAGGAACATTTATTATTTTATTTACCAAGCATTAAGTATACATCAGGTCCCAGAAATACAGAGTGAATGTAGCCCAGTTCTTGATCTCAAAATTGACTAATTCCACTTTAAAGTTTGAACTGTAACAAAAACAGCAATAACTAAAACGTAAACATTTCTCTTAGTAAACCCATTTAAGGGTAGTGAAATAGAGGTAAGAAAGAAAGAGAACAAAGTACAAACTTGGAAGTTTTCCTTTTAGCCCAGTGGACTATTAACCAGTCAGTTAATTCATCACAATTCTTGATGACTTATTTTTCATAAAAATCAAATCCATAAGAGAATAATGGGCTGTCTAAAATGATATCTCTCTAAGGACCACATAATAAAGTATCTCTGGAACTATATTTCACAACCAAAGGGCCAGGGTAGCACTGGGACTACCAGAATCTTGGTGTTCTCCTAATACAACAGGACATTTCACACTAATTCAAAGAAACATATTCAGCATCCCCTACTGCAATCTCCACCTCTGGATAATATAAATAGTTTTAAATACAGAAATCTCCTAATTCTTTCATTCCCTTTCTTAAACTTATATCAGTAAATGTTCCAATTCCACTTACAT